TTTTAAACATATACAAATTTTTGGTAAATTTACAGTTTTCTTGACCGTGCAAAAAAATAAAGTAAAACTCCAAAATTATCCCATCTCACCAAAATTTTAGAAAAACTAAAAGACCTTCATCGTCAGAAGAAATGGTTTCGTCATTGAATTCCTTTTTTATATCGTCCAACATACTAAAACAACCATTCGGTAAGAAAAGCGTTCAGAATAAGGCCATAAATCCGCTAAAGCAAAAAAACTTGGGTAAGATTGTTCCTAAGAATGTTCAAATAAAACTCACATCTTCGCTCTGTACTGAGCTCTCTTTTTCAAATTCCTGACAGTTTCTCGTTTACGAAAAAGTGCAGACCTTGGAGATATTCTTGGAAATTTCTCAGATGCTTGAGTGTTATAAAAAGACTCCATAAGTTTCTGAAGTTAACAAAAAATTTTATGTTACTTATGAAACAAACTGTTAAATTTGGTAGCATTAACCACTTGTTTTTTTTTTTGTCTCTTCTAAAAATACGTAGTGAGTTTAATTTTGGAACAGAAAAAAAATACTGATCTAGTTATAATAATTTTTAAAATTTGTTGTTACTTACTCTACGAGCTATAAGGAGTTTTTTCAAAAGCGAGATATAATAATGACGAATATTATGATCATATAATACGCGGCGGTTATCCCGTAACTGAACAATCGCAGAGGGGCGTTCAGGATTGAAGTATCCACCTATAGCTTTTGAATAAAATAAAACCGGTGCCTCGAGATACGTGTTTAAAAGACAGTTAAAAGGAACTTACATCTAATTTTTGAGTGAACTTTTGCCATTGAGTTACCAAAATAGAAATTTTTATCGTCAGTAAAGGCTGCATCCAGTATTAGCTCCTCATCATTCTCTGCTCCCTCGTACCGTGGAAGAAACCTCTAAAATATAAGAATAGATTGAAGCGGAAGTCACTTACCAAAGGATAAATTCTTAATTCTTCTTCTTAGAAAAAACTACTTCCACTGGTACTTTGAGAAGTCACTGCAAAAAGGTAATCTTGCAGAAGTCATGACAAAACAAACGTAATGTCGAAGAGTGGGAATAACCAATACCTTAAGATACTGCTGCCCCTCAGAACTTAATGAGCGAAATGCTTCCTTAGTTATAACCTGACGAAAAACTGACTCCTAAAAAACCAACAATTTTTAGCACTTGAGCAGAGTCAGCGTCAAAATTTAGTACTCTAAATAAAAATACATGAGGAATTTATGCAGCTGTGAAATAACAACCAGTTAATAGATTGATTTGTAAAATACAAAAAGATGTCGCTTACAAGATCTACTGTAATTAATAAATCCAAAGTACTTAGAAAATTTCGCAAATAATGAAATTAAAATATAAAAAACCTACTGCACCTCTTGTATAATCGCTGACGGCACAGCAACAATTTCACCTCCTAAACACAGACGAGACAACGGCACATCCCACTGTGATGACGACGTTGTCGAGTTACATACAGGAGACAAAGAATTAAATGAACTTGCCGAACTCCTAGTCGACCCAACAACTGGCACATTTTCCACAGAACTTGATGATGCAACCATCGAACATACTGCTGGCGAATGTCCGGAAGCCATTTCTCTGAAAATGATAAGGTAATCAGCAAATATTTCACGCATTAAATAGCACAAGCAGTGTGACACATAAAAAAATAAAAATAAACAAAATATAAATTGTAATTACTCCAGAAAAGGAAAACAAATTTCTGCAAAATCAAACACATTTTACGAGCAAAAAAAAAAAAAATAAAATAAAATAAGAGAGAACTTCTAGAGAGAAACTGTTTTTCCACACTAAAAAACTCAGTGTGATCATTGACACTAGCAACCGACTCCCCATAAGTTTTGTTCATAGTACCTTCAACTAGTCACATTATAAGACACTTACCAATAAATAAAAACCGGTATGAAAAACGGCCCAGGAAACATGCTGTATCAAGCCCCTAGACCTCGGTCGCCCTCTTATTCAAGTGTAGATACTAAAGTCCAAACCTTTCCGCTTATACTGCAGCTTAACTTTGATACTTAACAACAAAGATATAAATCAACTGCAGAAAAGCAACAAGTATTAGGTTAAAGTAAAACCTTTACTTGCTACAACCAATTCCTTCATTACTTTCATGACCACAACTGCTGATTACTTATAGCAATACACTCATGACAACTAATCTTTTTGTAGTTTTCACCTGCTGAAGTTAAGCGACGAAAAGGCGTTACATGAAAAAATATTCGTATAATGCCATTTGTCCGCTTTTATAGCTACTGAAATTTTTAAAGAAACGTGTTGTATCAAGCCCCTACACAAGCTACTGCTTTCTTACTCCTTGTACTGATACGGCTTCACAGAAAATAAAAAAAGGACATCAAGCACAATGAATTAAACTCTTTATAACATGATTAATATAAGGAACTTAAAAACAACTGTTTGCTTCTGATTTTTTTCTCTAAGATAGAATCGCTGCAATTAAACAACTGCTTAAATGGTAAATCAGAAAAACAAGCGAAAAAAAGGACGTTAAATTCACCGACCAAAGTAAAGAAATGAAGCAATTCAAAAACGTCATCAATACTGTGTATTTTTGGTATCCTTTTGCAGAAAAAAAATTTTTTTTTTTCAAAAGCGAAGAAACTAAGGTATAACTGCCAAATTTATTTAAACTAAATTTTTAAAAACCTGGGAAACTTCTGCTATTTTTCACTGCTTATAAGCCTCACCCTCAAGAATAAAACCACTCTCAAATCTGATTGAAATAAAGGCAAAAAAAATGAATCAAATAACAAAACCAAAAAAAATTGCACACTGCAACCCTACCGAATAACACTAAGGATGTCATTTGGGCTTTTACCGAATTTGACCAACCGGTCACAAAGAATGACCCAAAGCTTTGAACAGTCTCCATATAATTCTAACCGGATCTCTTTTATTTGTAGCCAGAAGAAATAAACTATTTCGAAGCACCGAAGCACTCCTGGCGTGCGTATTCTGTGCAGACCCAAAACCTTTTCTTTGTTCCCCTCCCCCCTTTCAAAACGAAGAAAGTAAATAAATAAATATAAATAGAAATAAAGAAAGAAAAAAATTAGATAAACAAGTAAATAGAAATAAAAAACAACAAAGAAAACCTCGGCAGCTATTATATGTCTCTTTCCTTGTCGAAAAAAGTGCCTGAACAATATGAATATGCACTAATCATATGGAATAACAGAACAGGCAAACAAACACTATGTGAAACATGTACAGTAAAACGTTTGTAGTCTTACAAATAAACCACAGATCGCACGAATAAGAAACATGGAGAAAATTTAAAACCAAACAAAAAAAAAAAAAAAAAAAAAAAA